AAAAAAAAAAAAGAAGAAATAAAATGTTCCAAAGTAAAGTTTGATTCTCATTTTCTGTACTTCCACTCTCAAGGCGGGAGCTGGAGGACGTCCAGCAGAAGGAAGAGCAGTATGGAAGTAAAAGGGAAGTAGAGGAAGAAGAGGATGAGGAGGATTCACCTGTTGAGTGCAGTGGTGGGGAGACGAAACAACTGGCTTTTATCCCCGGGGAAGTTTCCGGACCAATTCCTTTTCATGATCGACAAGAACAAAAAGTTATTTTCCTCCACCGAGCAAGAACATCGGAGAGGAGAAAAAAAAATAAATGAGCGGGAGCAAAAAGAAGAAGAGCGTGCACTCGGAAAGCAAGCGAAGGAAGGAGGAAGGTGAAGGCAGCGAGCGAAGGACAGAGGGAGGCTGGCGTGTCACCGGATGCGACCGACGGAGGCTCGTGAAGCCAGCGTAGAGTTCGTTTGTGTTCAAACACATAACAAAATCTGAATGGTCTTGATATTACGCAATATAATGTCTGATACATCAACATAAGCGCTCAGCGTCGACAGAAAACTTTGGGGCAAGTAAGCTATTTTTTGATTAGCCTATAAAAGTTTGATGTTTTCAAATGTCCAAAAGCCAAAGATATTCAGTTTATAATCATTGATCTATTGATAAATTATAACTAATTCAGAACTCTCACAACAGAGAGTTTTAGCTAACCGGCACTGGTTCCTTTTTAGAATTGATGTTACTGATTTACGAGGCTCTTAATGGTTTGGGACCGGCCTAGATTATAGATTCATTGTCGTTATATAATCCTTCACAGCCTCTTAGATGCTTTTTAAAATACAAACTATCACACAAATAAGAAAATCGTAAGCTGAGTCAATATTGTTCTTATGCTTTATTTGACCTCTTCACATATTCTATTGTTCTTAACATACCTGTTCTTGCTATGTGATGCCTCTTGTTTTAATTTGCTTTGTCTTTTATTCATTCTCTTGTCTCTTCACTCTTTTGCAAAGCACTTCGAGCTACAACCTCTGCATGAAAGGTGCTATAATATACATAAAGGCTATTATTTAAATATATAAAAACACAAAAGCAGCTAATCCTCACAGTGGAGAAGACAGATCTGTCATTTGGGTCTACTTGTAGCAGAGGTAGAAGAAAGTTAGCTTGCTCCAAAAGTTAGTTTTTGCACCCTGAGTTATTTAATACTGAATATCTGCCGATATGCTGCTTACATTTCCCTAGATAACACAGGTGAATAGCTCTGCACTGCATTAGGGGAAAAAGCCTGCAGCCAAGCGGTTCCTTATAGGTGAGTGACGCTGAAAATCTCTCCTGCACAGATCACATTTAGATTATTAATGTGTTGAGCTGTAAAAACTGTTCCAGAAGATAAGTCTGAATTAGTTCTACAGTAAAGTCTTATAGAGTGCGACCTTTGTTGCCTTCCAGTGCAAAGAGTACCAGCCCTTTATTTGACAGGCTTTTTCTCTTAATCATTTCGTAACGATATCTTATCAAATGTTAGTAAGAGGCCTCCCTGTTTTCTTATCTGATCCTGTTTTCGTTTGCTCAACTCAATGCTTCCTCCGTGTGTACAGGGTGTCTTGTGTAATGATGTAAGAGAGTTGACTCACACACTCTTTTCTCATGCGATTTGTTTAGAATTAGGAAAAATATGGAATAAGTCCAGACTTGTGTCCTTTAGCTGGCATTACCACCGCAGAAGAAGAGAAGCACGGACAACCTCCAATCCTGCACAGCTGCAGAGACAAGAACTTGATTCAGTTTTGTTTTGACCAAAATCTCCAACCTGGCAGGATGACCGGTTACCAAATCTCTGTTGGATAAACACACATTCCTTTTGACTTCTTGTCTACAAACGCTGCGTCTCTTGGAATTAGCCAGTCTGGGCCTCAACAAACCAGAACCAAACATAAGAAATTATTCAGTTCCTCCTCTCGGGCGACTGAAGACAAAGTGCAGGTGGGATTTGACGGTTTTACCAGAAAATGTTTAGAAAGAGTCCAATCGGTGGTTGGCGCCCTGACAAAGTGACACTTGGGGGAGTTGAACCTAACCAGTCTTCACTTGTCAGACTTTAGGAAATGGCTGGAGGTCATTTGCCAGCCTAATGTGTGTGCGTTGTGCTGTGCAGTGGACCTTCTGTGACCGTGGACTGAGGCCAGTCTCTCTCTGAAGGGTAATTGTTGTCTTGTTAGAAGAAAACCAGAAAGAACGCAGGCAGGCAAGCAAAAATTAAACGACTAAAACGTTGCAGAAAACAGAAGAAAAAGCCAGAAAGAAAAAGAAAAAAGGAAAAAGGCAGATTTCCCAGAAGGAGAAAAGAAAAAAAAAAAGAACTGAGAGCTCTTCAAAACCAACTCAGGTTTGGAAAGACGCCGGCTAAAGTCAACTCTGTTTCCTGTTAGTTGTCTAGAGGTTAGTGCTGCTGCTGTGGAGGCAGATGAACCGAAGCTGCAGCCTCACTTGGATCCATGAAAACCTTTGTGAAGCATCAGTGTTACCTCATGTGATTCTGAAAAGGGATTATCTAGTGCAAATTCAGTCAGATGTCAGAGAGAGAATGCAGCCCTGAGGTAGGTTGGGGGGGGGGGGGGCAA